CACAGGGCACCACCCCGCCGCCCAGGCCGCCCAGGAGGGAAGCAATGCTGCTCGGTGCCCCGGGACCGGACGGGGCCTCCTGCCGCGTGAGGGCCACAGCGCGACCACCGGGGGCCCGGCCTGGGGCTCTGAACCGTCCGGGTTCGACCCCAAACTCTGAGCCTCGGGAGAGGGGGCTGCAGAGAGGCCTGCAGGGGGCCCGGCTCCACAAGCCGCCCAACTACGGGCTTTACGGGGTGCAGGTTGGGACCCTGTCCACTGGCGTAAAAACACAACAAAACGTGCGGACACCGCGATCAGACCACGGCCCAGGCGCCCTCTCCCCTCCCAGCAGTGACGGACCAGCCCACCTCCAGCCTGGCTGAGGGATGCAGGATGGCGTGAGGCCCTGGGAGGGGGGAGACCACGCACAGAGGGGGGGACAGCGTCGCCCTGGCCGGAGCAAGGACAACCCCCCCTCCCCAATCATCTCATCATCCACAGACGTCAGGCCCGCAGGACAGAAATGAGGGAAGGGCGGGACCCCAGGGTGGCCCAGAACCCGCGGGAGAAGCAGGTCTCAGCCACAGGCTCCCGGCTCCAGGAGGGACTCTAACCCCGGCCCCCAGCCCAGCTCCTTCCCCAGGGAAGGAGAGAAGCAAACTGGGCCCAGTCGGCACCTGGAACAACATGGCCAGGACAGGACCAGCACGGCTGCCCCAGAAGCGGCAGGCCAGGCCCCGGTGCCCCAGGGATGCCCCCCACAGGGCGCCCCTGCCCCCGGGCCCCGCCCCAGGAAAGGAACTCCACAGTCAGCTCCCTGACTCTCATCCAGCTACGCCCCCGAGGTGACTTCCCGCGTGAGGGGTGCACACGGGCCCTGGGAGTCCCTCACAGAGTCCAAAGGAGGGGGTCATGCAGCCTCCACGGCAGGGGTGACAGACGGACCGGGACAGACGGACCGGGACACACGGGCCTGCGACCGCGGGCACTCACGTGATGGTGTCGATCATGTCCAGGCCCATCTCCACGCAGCAGTGGGCGTGGTCGGCCTTGGGCTGGGTGAGGCCCGACACGCAGTAGTAGCAGTCCCCCAGGATCTTGATGCGCCGGCAGTGGTTCTCCTGCGGGCAGAGGGCGCGTCAGGGACGGCCGGACGGGCCCCTTCCACCCACGAGGTGCTGGAGACCAGACCACAGGGCGGGACTC